CCAAACGGCATTATTAAATACTCATAGTGACCATACCGTGTCCTGAACGCCTTCTTAGGTACATCCTCATTCCTCACTTTGATTTGATGGTATCCTGACCTCAAGTCAATCTTCGAGAACATTGCGGCTCCCCTCAACTGATCGATCAAATTGTCGATCCTCGAAAACGGATACTTGTTCTTGACTGTTACCTTATTCAGCTGCCGGTAATCCACACACATCCTCATGCTTCCATCTTTCTTTTTCACCAGGAGCACTGGAGCTCCCCACGGTGACACACTCAATTTCACAAACCGTTTCTGCAACAAGTCCTCTACTTGTTTCTTGACCTCTGCTAACTCCACTGGCAACATCCTATAAGGTGCAACAGAAATCGGGCTCGCCCCCGGAATGAGGTCAATGACAAACTCTATCTCTCTCTCTGACGGTAGCTCAGAAACATCTTTGGGGAAAACTTCCAAGAAGTCTCTCACCACCGAAATATACTCCGGCTCTACCATGCTTTTGACCTCCATTGAGAACATCACCATAAAGGCCTTGACATTTACCGTGTTCTCCCACGCTCCCTGGCCCATAAGCCTTGGAATCTCTGCCATTGTCGCGCCAAAGATCAAAGTTTTCTCCCTACAGTCCAGTAGCACATGGTTGGCAGCAAGCCAATCCATCCCCAGAATTACATCCAGTTGAGAAAGAGGCAAACAGATCAAGCTTACCTCAAACTCCCTGCCATGCACCATTATCGGGCATCCCAGACACACCCATGATGTTACCACCGGCTTACCCGTAGGGTAGTCACCACAACATTACACGGAAGTTTGGTCACATATAGATCCAGACTTTTCACATAGTCCACAGATATAAAAGAGTGCGTAGCACCCGAGTCAAACATCACATCAAGTAACTTGCCCTAGAGTATGCATTTACCTCGGATCAGCTCCTCAGATTGTGAAGCCTCTACCCCGGTCATGGCAAAGACTCTCCCAAGAATATTCGGCTTCTGCTTCGAACTCGGCCCTGCACTTCCTCTTGATTCAGGCCTCTGAGCTATACCTGCACTGCTGCTCCTTTTGGCGGCCCAACACAGGTTAGCAGTGTGCCTCGGCTTCTCAAAGTTGTGGCAAATTATCTTCGGCTGTGGGTAGTCTTTGACCATGTGTGGTCCTCCACACCTGAAGCACTTCAGCAGTCCCCTGAAGGAACCCGATCCCGAGCCACTATCACTGCTCTTCTCCTGAGAAGGACTCCCTTGGGATTGAGAGCTATTCAAACCAGAATACGGTCCCTTTGAGAACCTTGGGGGTCTTTTATCTTGTCTCATGGGGCCAGCTCTCCTAGGGTACACTGTCTTCCCCCTTGAGTTAGCCTAAAAAATTCTGCTCTTGCTCACCAGTGTGGGCAAGTCCGCCAGTTGGAACACACTGACCGCGGCTCGGATATCTGGCCTCAATCCATTCTCAAACTAAGAACACGACTCTTCCTCCCTATCACCATGCTGGAAATGAGGGCAGTACTTCATCCGCTCTTGGAATCTTGCAACATACTCTCCCACAGTCATGTTTCCTTACTTCAGTTCAAGGAATTCTCTGGCCTTTTGTTTCATTAAATCTCGGGAAAAGTAATTCCCCAAAAAGATTTCATACCAGCGACTACTTGCCCCATTCGCACTATTGTGCCCTCCGGCGATTAGTCACCTCATTTGCACGACTGTGCCCACCGGCGATTATTCCCCCCATTCGCACTATTGTGCCCATCAGCGATTAGTCGCCCATTCATATTATTATTCACAATACACGGCTCTAGGCCCACATTCGTTCATAAAACGCAGCACGCAGCCTACCATTAACCACAACACACGACAATCCACCTATAGTCAGGTTGTATTATACGGCACCTAGCCTATGTTCAGTCACAATTTCATGGCACATAGCCCACACTCATTTCTATTATACGACACTCGGCCCACACTTATTCACACGTCATCAAACACAACAATTTCCATCAATTACCCTTATTCTTATCCACACACATAATATTCATAAGTTCCGGCACATGGTCCTCATCACATTTTACAATTAATTCCATTCCCATACATTTTCTACTCTCTATTGCAACCACACATCCATATTCATTCAAATAAACAACGAATCATACGTATTAAGATAGGGTAGAGTCTTCCCTTACCTTGGATTGAAGACCCACTCGCGTATTCGTCCACGAAAGTGTTCCTCACACAGATTTCGGCCTAAAACACATGGAAGAACTCCATGAGAACCCAAGAATACCCAAAAACAGAGAAAATGGGATGAAAACGGAACCCTAACCCTTAAAACTCACCTTCAAGCGTTCCCCACATGAATCCGAGCTTCAATCTCACTCACAAACGGCTTTAGAGGCAATTAATCAGAGAGAAAGGGGTTTGAGGTCGAGAGAATCGAAGGGATTTGAGAAATAACACTCAAATCCTTAAACCCCTCAGATCGCGACACTCTCGCTATAGCGACATCCTCTCGCTGTAGTGAGGCATCTCTCGCTGCAGCGACGCCCTCTATCGCCACAGCGAAAATCTCAGACGAAACTGCATTTTAGTTTCTGTAGAATCTCACTACAACGAGTCTACATCCATAAATGTAGTCCCTTTTGTCACTCTCTCACTACGGTGAGACAGCTCTCGCTATAGCGAAAAGGCGATAGTTTGCCCCTTTTCTTCTCAGGGCCCTCTCGCTACAGCGAGGACCCCTTGCACTTAGGCACTTAATCAATTTTCAGTCCAGCCACACATGCACACACATAATTCCATATACCCATAGGCTTTTATGCACACAAGCATCATTTATTATGCATTTCAATGCAATTTCCTCATTTTTATTTTCCCATTACGCACTTAAGTGCAATTCTAATATACATTTACACTTTATATACATATGAATACCGATAATCAATGTTATCAAAATTCAAGGTGTTACATGTCTTATTTTGTGAGGAATGTTTAGTCACACTTTGATACACAGATTTTTTTTAATATTTTATGTATATACATATATGACCACATGCTTATATGTTGTTACCATATGTTAAGGCCGAATTTTTTTTAAATGCTATTTTTTGTCTTTATGTTTTTGCTAGACTAATTGATGGATAGTTGAGGTTGGATTAACTTTTAAGCCCTAACATGTGCTGTGATAAAGGTGGATTAGGTACCATTGAAAATAAGTGTCACAATGATTGATGACTATAATTCCTACTCGTAACAAGTAAATGGAGGTTGACTTTCAGTGACCTTATGTTTCATTATTTTTATAATGAAATGGCCAGAATTGAGGTTCTAGTTGAGAACAATGTTTAGACCCCTGCATATATGTTGTTAGCAAAGAGATGAATTGTGCACATGTATATGTCAAAAATATAAAACTGTTTGTCATGTGGTATGAGACAAGAAAATTTCTCCTCCAACTATGTCCTAGAATGTAATATCATTGTGTTTATTGAATGAAGTTCCTTCTAATTGTGAGGTCCATAAGGTGAATAGTAGTAATTTGCAAGACATTACGTTATGCATGTTAACTCTCTCATATCCATTAGGCATGTTGCATGATCAACGTGAATAAGTCATTCATATGATTGATTGTGATAAGTAGTCTAACATAAAAAAAGAAAAAAAAGTAAAAGAATAAATAAGGAGAATTACCATCACATAAGATTAATATAGAAAAAAAAAAAGGTAAAAATTGTCAAACAAGAAAAATTTGATCACTTTATGTCTGTTCTTTTAAATTCCTTTATAATGGCTAAGTTCTTAGTTTTAAAAATGTGTGCTTATGAAATAGATCTTTTTTTTTTCTTTCTCTCTTCTTCTTTCCTTTTTCTCTCTTTTCTCTCTCTCTTTTTTTTTGTCTTTGTTTTTTTGCTCTCAAAACTCTTCCTATTTTCTCTCAAGACACCGATCTTATATTTATAGCTCATTTTTTGTAAACTTTATTTAATATTTTTTAATTTTTAAATAAAGATTTCTTTATCTCCACGTTCTTTCATCCTTCAATCACTACCAATTCACTTTTTTAAAAAATACCATTTGAATATTTTTTTTAAGTTAATATTTATCCACTAACTCATTCATCTAACATCTAAGAATATCTATTTATTTTAAATTTTAAAATTTTAATTTTTAAATTAGTTTTTATTTACTATCTTAACCTCTTGTAAAATCTAAAAGTATTATCTTAATATTTTGAAATGTGATTTTTTTTGTTGCTATTTTAAATTTTAAATTTTTGTTTTATTTTAGAATAAAATCCGGATAAAATTGGTTATTCCGACTCAAGACAAAATTAGTGAAAGTAAAACACAATCAAGTGTAAACTGATGCTGGACGAGGTCTGCGTTGAGGTGTGGAGGACACGGGAAGCGAGGCAAGACTTCACATTTTAGCCTATTAAACGTAGTTGCTACTCAAATCAAAAGCAGCGTTTGCTTGTTAGTTTTACTTTTACTGTGGAGGCAAATACATGTAGATGAACATCCTTTGTGATATTTAGTTTCATGGATTTAGTAAGTATTTGGGTGAAATTTTGTAAACTTAATTTTAGATTCTTAAAAGTAATATAATTTGCATTTAAAAAATTATTTCAAAAAGAAGTTAATAATTAAATTAATGTAAAAGTTGAGTTTAATTTTGCCAAAATCATATTTTCACGCAATTTTGCTGTTAGAAACTTTTGCAAAAACTTATCCAAACAAGTTTGAAAATAACAAAATCATGGTGGCAAAGTCCTAACAGATGTTTGGCCATTGCAACGGCAACACCAAAGACATACTATTTTCTACATTCATACCAAACCAACTTGTGTCCAGATGCATCTAGTTTCAAATATTTGTGTCCCAGTGATTGGGACATTCGCTAAATCGTCACGCAAACTACATCTTTAACTAGCAAAAGTGTGGATCACGTTGCATAATTTACAAGAAAAAAAAAACGAAATCTGACAGGGAAATGTCAGGTCTAGACAAAACGACGAGGAATTTCATTCGCTATGGTGCCATCAAATAAAAATGCTCCCTAATTGCAAGACATAGAAGGGATGAAGGCAAGGATAGTACTGCCAAATCTTTTTTAAATTAGAAGTGAGTCATACTACATTATAACCTGCAATTCTATCTCTCATTTACACATTACTAATGCCCACAAAGATAGGCTAGATATTTTTCTATTCTTCATGCCTATGATTTGTGCTTGTACATTCAATTCCTTGCAAACTCCTTCCCTATGTACCTGTTAGCAATCCAGAAAAGAAAAAACAAATTGCAATACTTACATTGTATATAATTGTACCGAAGAGTCTTTCAATATACAATATTATAGGTTTGTGTTTATTTCTCATTTGATTGCTAGGATCCAGTTTTAGGCTAATCTGATTTATGATTGAGCAAACTTCAAAAGGCAAAATGCAACACACACTAGTTAATAATAAAAATAACAGTAAGAAATATGTCAAACCATGGCAGTCCAGCAAGCGACTCTCAGTAAAGACAATACTTACCATAATTTTGGTGCACTTTCGTAAAGTTGTAAATGGCTTTTATCAACGAACCATATCTCATAACGTTCAATGATCCCATATGTCTGTAATAAACATAAATATCAGTCAGAATCTATCCAAAGAAAAAACAGAAAAAGAAAACTATATACAAAATGGAACTTTTTATATTTAGGGCTGTTTGTTTGTGTACATTTTTTTAAAAGACAAGAACTCGTTTATTTAAAAATTAAATAATTATGTAAGTTCTTAATATACTATAAGAATCATAAAATCATTTTTTTAACTTAAACAAGCAGGCCCTCACATCACATGCATAGCCTATGATGCCTCTGAAATAGCAACTCTACCACAGATTTATTAATAGAAAATAATATATAACAAAAAGGGTAGCAAAAAAAAAAAAAACTAAATAAGATCCAAATATATTCATGATCATCCAAAATATTAAAACTAGTTTCATTGACAAGGATTTCAGCTAATCATAAACAGTTTAATCCAAGTTGATAAGCCTACTACCAAACAGAAAGCCCATGTAACAGAGCTATTGCTTTTAGCTTCTATGCATAAGCGTAGTTTCACTTCATGAGAACCAACAAACAAATTTTATTACAGCACTGATAAAAATAATAATAGTTCCCAAGAAAGAACTTACACTATCTCTGTATATCGAATTCTCCATGCAGGAAAACCAAGATGGCTCCTCACCGGTCCATAAACCAGTAAAAGGTCGGGTTCAGGGCCTTTGCTACCTGACAATGATAACAAGTGATATATTGTACAAGGAGATCAACTCTTCAACTGTCAGTAGGTATAGAGAAAGAAAACACACCGACAATTTGCAGGGCCTCATTCAAGTGAGGCTCTGACAAGATGTGACCATTTAGTTCCCCACCCAAGTTATGTCGTTTCAATTGCTCTGCGAAAATCAAGTTAGCTGCTTTGGCCACTGCCTCCTTCCCATCCACATAAGAAATAAATTCTAAAGTCATGTGATCTGGAACATGGTCTGTCACTGCTTCACTAACTTCCTGCACTGAGTTAATGCTAGATTAGATCAAACAAGTGACATAACAGTAGAAGTTACAATTTAGGCTGGTCAGTGATAGCAACAGAATGAACCACTTAATCCATACTCTCTACTAATGCATTTTTTAGATGTGGAGAGAAACTGTGAAGAAAACAAGAGAGAAGATTGGTATTATTTTCCTCCTTTCATTTAGATGAGTGAGAACAGTTTTCTTTTTACTGGGGGAAGAAAAAGAAAACAAATGTGGTTCATGTACAATCTGTTCTCTCCCTTTTCACCTTAATTTTAGAAAGAAATTTCTTGTGGGCTCAAAGGTACCTTTTCATGCCTATTTTCAGTCATTCCTATTGTCAACCTACCATCCAAATACCTAAATTATAAAATAACTTTCTAGCCTCATTTTCTTCCCCTTGCTAACCAATTATCGCCATATCATAATAATGCGTTGAGTCAAGATTCACTATTTGAGAGGCAGGTATCTTATACAATTTATCAACAGAAACATGTATTCCATCTCCTTATCTTTTTTCTTAGATGATGCACCCACAAATGGAAATGAGGTCAGATGTATTAAAAAAATTTCAGGAAGTAAACTATTATAACTTAATCTAGGACACAACATCCCAGGGTCTAAATAAAAGTTTGTTTATATCCTTTGCCATCCCCCATATATGAACAGTAGAAAGAATCAGTCAAGATAAAATGAGGAGAAGGTGGAAATACACAAACTATGTGATTTATATGGCAAACATATAATACACTGTTTGGTCACAAGAAGGTTAACGTGATAATCCAGGAGAGAAATGTATTAACATACTAAGAAAGATGCACTCTGCTGGGAAAAGAATTATACAGTACCTCTATGGATTTTGCGTCCTTCAACTTTTGAATTATGGTTTCCTTAGACTTCTTCAATACTCCTAGAATAAAAAGTTAAAGGAAAACATTATTATATGGCCTGAGTAAAAAAGATTTAACATCGCTGATCCTCCAAACCTTTCCTACCATTCATGTCATAGAGGCATACATTCTTTACACCAATAGAGTCCAGCCACTGCAAAAGTTTAACAACTTTGGAAGTCTGACGAGCTTCTTCACTTTCTATGACAATGGCAAGGTACTGTAGCCTTCCTAAATGAAGAAACTCATATTTCTTCAATACTCCATAAGAGATGAAACAGCTTTCAAACAAATTGCCCATGGTTAATATGGAATGCCATGTGCTGACAATTATTTGAAGAAAGTACCATAGCAGTCGAAGCCCAAGATTTACAATCTGCACAAGTAAACCCACAATGAATGAACTATAAAATTTCAGATTGTATGGAAAAGTACACACTCAGTTGCACAGAACAACAGTTTATGTTAAAAGCCATTGAGTTCAACAATATACAGGTCAAACATGAAGCAACAATAACAAGCATCAAGATTGGAATCTTGATACACAAACATGGACCCTGTTAACAGAATCAAGTTATATCGAAATATGTCATTATCATAATTTATCTTTTTTATAGCATAGATATATTTTAGTGTTACCACTTACAAGTTTCGTACATGCATTCAGATTATTAATCTCTCTAAGAGTAAGTATGGACTACAGATATGTTAATTCAGTACATACATAGTTTTTCACATCTTTTTACTCTTGTTTTGGTCTAATTTTGTGTACACAACTGGCACGCCGCGAGGAGGAGCCTTTGAAGCAAATCCCTTTTAGACCACATCACCAGAGTGAGTTTAAAGATGTGTGATGACAGTATGATAATTGAAGGAGATAAATAACTTAAAATTCAAAGACTTAGCCGCAGAACAGCACGAGGTATATAATTCCTCAATGAATTACTGATGAAAATCAAGCACGTAAATAAAAATTAAAGGAAGACTTACAGCAACAATAGAACGAGACAACTTGTGAGCTCCATCTCTAAAATCCATGATCCTAAAAGTATGAAAATATAAAATCCATCAATTGAAAATCGAAGAATCAAACATGAAAGTAATAAATCCAGTAATGGTTGCTTTTTCTTTTTTTTCTTTTTTTTGTTAAATTGAGCGTAGATAGAACAGATTTGAAAAACGATAAAAAGAACGAAGAGGGAGAGAGAGAGAGAGAGAGAGAGAGAGATACTTACGCTCTTCTCTTCACTACACTACAGCATAGCGTCTCCGCTTCTATCATCTCATCTCATGTAAGTTATATGATCAAGCACAATCACCGCTGCGCTTGGGATTTCATTCTTTTATCGTGACTTTAATTTAACTAATAGTATCCCTATGCAAATATTTTAAATATTCATTTATCAATTATGGATAATAGCAATTTACTTTACCTAATTAATTGATAAATTAATTTTATTTAATGTAGAAACTCATAATACATGACAGTATAAGAAAGATGTGTTATTTCTTAAAAGGATATAAAACATTATGTCACTTTATGATAAGATCTTAAATTTAATAAATATACACGTATACTTATAATTATTTACCAGCGATTTGTTTTATTATTATTATTATTTCGATTTTAATGTTAAAATATTAATTGAAGTTATTATGAAATTTTATAATTATAAAACCCATCAATTAAATTCTATTATATTGTAAAATCTCTGTTGATGTGTTTTTACATGCTTGTTTGATGTATCATGTGATTAAACAAATGTTTCGCATCACTTATCATGTGACGTACACATTGATTTTCTGAAAACACGCTTAAGACACCTACATGAATGCTAAGTTTTGATTCTATTGTGACCATAACGCTTTCTCAATGCATGATTGTTAGTCTAATTATAATACAATCAAGTAGTACATGTATTTATTATTTTTATTATGTGAAAAAAATCAAAAAATATTAACGGCTTGAATATTTTTAAAATATCGAATATTTTTAAAATATCTAATATATATTAGAATTCTTTTTTCATACGAGAGCTTATTTAAAAGGATGTACCATTAACAATCCTAGAGATCTAACGTGTGCTTTTTTAGTTGTTGAATTTTACATTCCTTTCTAAAAAAAGGAGTTATTGATCCCAAGAAAAGCCTTGGATTTGGGCCTAAAACTGGGGAAAATAATGAAACTTAAGAAGTTGGCAGTCCATTAATTTAAAAAGGCCACCCTTCAATTCTAAGAGAGCCCAATAATTGACCCACCTTGGGAGAAAAAGTAACTAAAAATTTCAATGAATACCCACAAACATAAGCCGTCAAACATCTAATTGGCAGTTACTTATATTTAATAGATTTGTAAACTTGTAGAAAATCATCCGCTAATAAATACTGTTTTTAATTGTTTACGCAAAGGTAAACCCTCACACCAAACTTCTACTGTCAAACCAATGACTGGACCAAAAACACCGATGAATTATTTTGGGTAAAGAAAAAAAAAATCTAATCACATGTCTTGGTCTACCTGAGGACCCAAAAACACAAACCCTTTATGAACTCACAAGGCCGCAGAGAATACATCCATCCACGTACCAACTATCACATCAAAGGAGATTAACCTTTCATGATACGATGACCAAAGAAAGAAAAAGAAAAGAAATCAATCTATACAGACCAAGTTAGACCTCCATATGTAATACTTAATCTCAAGGAGGATACCTCGTGTGTATTTTATACAGAACAAATTACAATGGTTGTACATACACGAATCAGTTCGTGCTCTACTCATGATAAGATCCCTTGCCATAATAGTTTTAGAAGCACAAAAACTTTTCCTCTTCAAACGGTGAAGGATTCGGTGGCTGCAGCCTACTAAGTCTTGAGTAGACGCAAAAAAAAAATCCTCAGAAAACATATCTGGGAGTGATCAGTATACTCTAGATTAGCTGAAGCTCAGGTGATTGACAAACAAGCACAAGCACTCCATTATAAAGATATCATGATGTCATTATCCCTCTGACTCAAGCTATCCAAAATAACTCGCCCACAAGATTCAAAGTGAAGCATTGCCTTTTTTATCCTATTCTGAATCATTTTCTTCACCTTATTTTTGCAGATGACATCATTCATTAAGAGAGAGGGGGATGAAAACAGAGGATAGAGAATCCACCTAAGACAGCCAAAAGGGCAGGGAAGACAAAGAACTGAAAGTAAGCCATGTGCCAACACTTACAATTGAAAATCCTGCTCTGCAGTCTATCTATATTCATGACCAAAAAGAAAGGGCAGCTTGGTGCACGAAGATATCATCATTGTGGGGTCCGGGGAGGTCAGGTGTACACAATCAGCAGAGAGGCTATTTCCACAACGCTAAGCCATGACCACCAAGTCCAGCTATAGACACCATATTTGCAAAAAGAGCATTGACTCTAATCCATGACCACAAGTCCAACTGGAGAGACGATACTCAGGAAAAAGAGCACACTACTAGACCATTTTGCTTGCTTCCAATTGTCAGTCTCTCAAATGAACAGAGAAAAAACTGAACCGATGATACTTCACAAACTCTTGCTCCTCCAAAATGCCCAGAAAGCTAATTCATAATAAAAAATAGATGATTAATTTTGTTCCTGAACTCCAAAAACAGACAAGAAAAATAACACAGATGGCTTTCACTTTAAATTTTACCGGTTTCACAACTAAACCCTGAGCATAGCTAGTTTGTCAGAAAGAAAACATTAGGCATATTTGCTAAGATAATATGCATGACTGGTTAGTGTAACAAAAGTCCTAAATGACTTGTCATTCTGTATTCACAAATTTAATATAATTTCTACTTTAAAAAATGGTAAAATAGCAAAATAGAAAAGGCAAAAACAAGAACAACCCATTTATATGTATCAGAAAATGAATCTGGCATGCAAATGCCTGACCACAAACAGATCTTTGAAATCAACATTGAAGCTGTTTGCAAATCATAGGTGAACAAATCCATTGATTACTAACAAGGCCAAACAACTTACTTACCCCATAATAATTCATTAAACCACAGTTTATTGGTTCTTCAATGCAAGTATGTAACACTTTAAATTTTATCTAGATCCACAATATCAGCAAATAAACATTATTGAGACGTAATTTGCTCCAAAAGATACCAAGTCTAGAAATTTAATTTTTATACACCATCAATTAGAATGCCAGATCATAGATCATAAAATCATTACCCCAGGCATGATGTAATGATAGGTGCACAAATACACAGGATTTTGAAGATGAATTTTGAGATTTCTTCAAAATCCAGTGTTTCTGCTTCCATTGTCACTGCTGTTTTACCTGAACAGCAAAAACCCATATCTGCAAATGAAGATTGATAATAAATGAAAGGGATCAGAAACTTTTAGAGATTAAGAGAGGGCAGCCTGCTACCAGCTTGACCATTTCTCCTATGCTACCTGTATTCTTCCTTCAGCTATGTAACTCACACTCAATCTGCAGTTCTGTATGATAGAAATCTAATTCTGGTCCTCTTCATGAATCCAGCAGATATCCTGCAATGTTGATAGAAAATGTTAAAAAAGGGGGTTAGAATAAATATGCCAGAATAATTATTGCGAGTCTGATGCAATTTACTGCCGCTAAATGTGTAAAGGAAGTGTTAATTGTTAACAAATTCACAACAACTGAGCAAAATGTCATGGAAAAGTTAGCCTCATGTTATTTCGTATTTCCAAGTTAGAGCAAGTGTGACAAACCATTTGGCATATGCTGTCAGATAATTGTAGTGCTTCTTGCCACTTATCAACCTTGGTAAGGCCTTTGATGAGGTGGACAAATGTGCTAAGCTCTGGAACAACATTCTTACTTATCATGCTTGCGTACAGCTCAAAGGCTTTATCAACCTTTCTTGCATGTGACAGACTCTCAATTAAAGAACTAAATAGATATTTATTTGCAACTGCAAGGCTTGGAGATGATGAAATCTCTTCCAGGAGGTTCAAGGCAATTTCCAGTCTTCCAGCCTTGATAAAATTATCAATCAAAATTCTGTACAAAGAATCAACTGGCACTGATTCACTCTCGCTCAACTCATTTAAAAGTCCAATTGAGGTTATAAACTCTCGGTTAAAGCCCTCAACAATTTTACGGTGACTTGATATATGCCTTGGCCAATATGTTTGTTTCATTTCATCTAATAATCTGAGTGCTTCATCAAGAAGGCCAGTGGAACAACAATGATTTATCAAGACATTATAGGTTATAAAGTTTGGAGCACAGCCCTTTGAGCACATATCTCTAAATAGATCAAGGCACTGCTCAATCTTTCCTAATTTCCCAAAGCCATCAATCATTGCAGTATAAGTTACAACATTTGGGTAAACACCCATTTCTTCCATCTTAAGCATAAGTTGGTAAGATTCATCTGTCTTTCCAACTTTACACAGGCCATCAATCATCTCAGTGTAAATAACAACATTGGGAGTGCAAGAATTCTCTAGCATCTTGGACAACACTTTCAAAACAAGATCCAATCGTTTTTCTTTAAACAAACTATCAATTAAAGAGCTGTAGGTATACAAATTTGGACTGTATCCATGCGCTGACATCTTTACATACACCTCTTGTGCATCCTCAAGCTTTCCAATCTTGCAAAACCCATCTATAAGAGCATCATACACTATTTGGTTAGGCTCACAACCATGAACTGACATGATATCAAATAATTCACGGGCTTCTTTAACCCTGTTTGCTTTGCATAAACCATCCACCAAAGCCCCATATGTAATAACATTTGGTCTTTCACAATTGTTGTCATCTAGCTTAAAATATATGTCCATGTCAGAGGATTCTAGCTCGCCTTGCATTCTTGCATAGATCTGGCAAGCTTTATCAAGCTGCCCAGCCTTACAATGACCATCAATTAAAGCTGTATATGTAACAACATTTGGCTTGCAACCTTCAAGCAACATCATCTCAAATAGTTTATTTGCTTCAAACACCTTTCTTGCTTTCAGGTATGCATGAATAAGAGCAGTAAAAGTCACCACATTTGGCATGCAACCGTCTCTTAACATTTCATCAAACCATTTATGAGCCTGTTGAATGAGACCAGCTTTGCAAAAACTATCAATTAAAATAGTATATGTGTAAACACTGGGAACAATGCCATTCTTTTTCATTTCTTTGAACAACAAAAAAGCCTTCTCTACCTTGGATGCGTCACAAAGGAAACCAATCACTTTGGAATATGTACTATCGTCAGGAATGAAACCCTTGCTCATCATTTCGCATATAATCTTGAAGGCTTTATCAAACTTTCCTGCTCCACAAAGACACCGAGCAAAGTTGCTGACATTAACCTTATTTAATACAACCCCTGAATCAAGCATCTCACCATAGGCTTTTTCCGCCAATTCTAACACATCGGAGCTAGGCAGCTCCTCATTGCTACAAATACTGCCAATGAATATATTATAAAGTAGATAGCCAGGCTGGTATCCACATTTTAGCATTTTATTAAACAACTTAGACGCATAAGAATAATCCCCGGATTTACAAAAAGCATGTACAAGAGAATTAAACATCTCACGGTTTGGGTAACAGCCTTCTGTAATCATCATACTAAGAATTCTCTTACACCTACCCAACTGTCCTTTCCCCAAACAACCAGAAAGCAAAATCCTATAAGTGACAGCATTAGGAATGCAAGAAGTAGACCGCATTCTGTTTAAGATATCCATGGCTTCTTCAAAAAGCGAAGCTTCGCATAACCCAGAAATCATCCTATTATAAAAAACAGTATCAGGCACAAACTCCTCCTTCTCAATCAAATTCAGAGCATCCCTGCACCGCCCCGCTTTGCAGAGGGAATAGACAAAACAACTCAAAGTATACCCATCCATACCAAACCCAGAATTCGACATCTCTCTCTGAACCAAAGAAGCCGTATCTAACTTATCAGCTTTAAGAAAAACTTGAACCAATGCACAATAAGTGGGTCGAGAGGGCTTGTACCCAAAATCCTTGAGCCTCCCTAACTCTTCCAATGCCACATTCCACAACCCATTACGACAACACTTTTGAATGAGAACATTGAGCACCTTGCGAAGCAATTCCTTATCATCATCCCTAATTTGCTGCAAGAACTTTTCAGACACTCTATCATTGCCATTGCAACCACCCAGTAACTCGAGCAACGTATTATACACCAGTGGAGTGTGGATGTATCCAATTTGGCGACCCGACCACAAGAAAAACTCGACACACAACTCGGGGTGTTTTACGTGATTCATCACCTGCACCACCAAAGACTCGCTTAACCTACCCCGGAACTGCCTCAAATAATTTATGGTTTGGATGCCAAACCCGGTCCTGATTGCATTTGACATCAGAACGGCGTCGTCACCGGATTCGAGGGTTTGAGAGGAAGTGTCGCATTGGGGGGTAGAATTTAGCAAAGCGTTGCGAAGGAATGCGTAGTGTTGTGATGGATCGGGTGGAGAATGGTGCGAAAAAGCGTCATCAGGATCAACGAGCCCTGGGAGAGGGTCTTGTGACGAAGTTGAGAAGGGTCGTTGGCGTGTGAATTGGAGAGAACGCAGAGAGCCGGAGAGTATGAGCAGATTCTTCAACTCCGTCTTGGTCATAATAACCAATCAAAAGGAAAGGAACAAAAACCCTTTCAATTAGGGTTTAAGAGAGCACCAAACAAAACTCTTTCAACCACCGTCGGAGACACACTCACGATCACCACACGATTTTGCCGTCTGTTCACACGTGCGTTTGGATACACAGTTTACTGTAAATTGTAATTTGACGAATGCTAAGTTTTTTATTGTAATTTTACGTTTTTTAACATGTATTTATCTGGATTTTAAAAATAAATACTAAATTTCAAATATGTCACATGTGGTAAAAAAAACTCAATATTTTTTTTGATACTTCATACACTCTTTTAGGTTAAGATGATCTAAAACTTATACAGAAGTTGCACTAGGATACGTCATGTTGTGTCTTAATGCACAGGTAGTACGACTTACGACTAGGATTAACACGGCATGTGCTTGATAAGTTGTATATAAGTTGATCAATATATGAAAACATCAATGATACTATGATTAATCTAAATTTTACATAGCTTTCTAAATTGTTCGATAGTCAATCTATTATAGGTTTTCACCTCTGCTTAAATATCAATTGCACTAGGTTGGTGCATCTTGTGTATAAGTTTTAAAGCGTTTTAACCCAGTGCCACTTATGTAGTATAAAAAATAATATATATAAAATTTAGTATTTTATTTTAGATTTAATTATATTTTTTATCTCTATAAATATAGTCATTTTTATGATTAGTCCCTACAAATATTTTTGTTAGAAAGTGGTTCTTCTAACATTGGTAATTTTAAAATTAGTCTCTGCTGTTAATTTCCCTTCTATTAAGTGGTGAGCTGGCTAACGAAGAGTCAGCTCAACACTTCATATGGCGCCATGTGACCATTTTGAAACTCAATTATAGTCTACGTAGCATGCTACATCATTTATTATTATTTTATTTAAAATTAAAATTTACAAATAAACCCTTGAACTTATTTTATATAATTGCATAAAAGACCTTCTAACTTTCTTTCTTTCTTTTCTACAGTGCCTCTCTTCCCCTCTCCCTCCCTTCTCCATGCTCTCCACCTCTTCTCCTCTCTGTGCCACCTCTCTCTCCCCCTTGACTTCCACACCTTCCCTTTTGTCCTCAAAGCCTCTGCCTAACTCCCTTCCCTTCCTCTAGCTCTCTCTCTCTATTCCCAAGCCTTAAAAAGTACCTATTGTTTACATACAAGATTCTCAGAGAAGCATCGTCAGCATATTATGTGTATCCTCATAATTTATTTTTACATTTTCACAAACTCTTTATTTGATTATCATTATGAAACAAATAAAATAATAGTAATCATTTCTCTAAATCAATATTGTATTTCTCCTTAACCTTCAATTTTTTCATGTACCCAAATTACAACACATTATACAAATGTTGGTGAAGAAAGAAGAAAAAATTATTACACTAATATTAAGCCAATTGAATTCTTTGTTCATAAAATTCAATTTGTACATAATCAAAAACAAACTTAAGGCAAAGAACCCTACTAAATCTCAGCAACAATGATAGCAGATTCAGCATAAAAGCCCTTTCTCTCTCTGTCACAACCCTTCACCCACTTCCAATTGTACTGCAAATCTCGCCACACAGCTCGCAAAATGGTGTTTTTCCAAAAACCCACTAACCCTTTCTTTCTTCACAACTGCATGATCCAACCCAATCAAATCTCCACCCTTCTTCAATCTCTGCAACTCCATCAGCTTCTTCACCACACCCTCCTTCAACATAGCTTCCACCATTTCCTTGTGTCAAAGTACCCAATTTCAAGCAAGCATTCACATCCTAACACGCGCAATTACAGATCCTAAGAATTCAACAAATCAATTACATTGAGGATTTTGCCATTGGACTCAATCTCGTCAACAAGACGTGACCTAATGAACTTGATAAGGGAACACAAGACCTCCAGAGAGAGGGGAAGCCATGGAAAGCAAGGCTTGAACCGAATTAACACCGTCACGGCCAAACCGATTTGCTTGCAAACCTAGTTTGAACACTTGACATCCAAAAGAACTGATTGGAGCGAGGGGAAAAGCTTCAGCTTGAGAACCAGGTCTTGCAACTTGCGCTTGAAGCCTTGGGAGACTCGGTCTTGGAACTGAGTTAACAGCAAGACCAACTCATCCTCATCGTTAAGAGGGTTAGTAGGGAAGGGACTAGGTGGAGGAGAGGGGTGGTGCGGATGAGAGTATGGAGAAGAAGAAGGGGTGAAGGAAGAAGAAGGAGTGGGGGAAGAAAAGGGAGTGGTGGTTTGAAGATGGAGAAGGAGAAGGAGAGGGAGTGGGGAAAAGAGGAGGGATAAAGGGAAGAGAGATGTCAGAAAGGTTAAAGAAGGAAGGAGAAGGGGAAAAGGGTTTTTATACAATTTTATAAAATAGGTTTAGGGATTTATTTGTAAATTTTAATTTTAAATAAAAAATAATAAATGATGTAACATGCCACGTAGGCTGTGACTACTGGATTTCAAAATGGCCATATGGCGCCATGTGGAGTGCTGAGTTGGCTCTCCATTAGTCAGCTCAGCACTTAACAGAGAGAGAATTAACGACAAAGACCAATTCTAAAATTACCAACTTTAGAAGGACCACTTCCTAACAAAAATATTTGTATGAACTAATCACAAAAATAACTATATTTATAGGGACCAAAAACATAATTAAGCTTTTATTTTATTTTTAAAAAAATTCTAAATATCTTTCTCCATTTGAGTCTAATAGGATCACTATAATAAAGCTTTGTTTTCAATATTTGAAATTATGTGTTACCTTTTTTAAATTACGTAAAAAAATTACATTAATTTAATAAAAATTATAATTTATAGTATTAAAAATAAGTAAGCTTATAACTGATCAAACGTAGATTCTAACAGTATTTTAATTTGTAAAATATTGAAGTAAAAGAGAATTTTATTTCATTCAAATCACTCATGATCATTAGTTTATAGACTTTATAATTCATCTTAAAAGAATTTTTTTTTCATTTTTAACTCAATTTTATTTGCGATTCATAGTTCCATATTCCTAAAGGTATGCATACTATCATTATATAATAGTTATCATTCAGTTTTTTACATCATCACTATCAATAATAGATCACATATTGGCATAAGTTGAACCCTATGCAACGTAAAGGAGTAAGTATCTACAAAGATATTTTGATAATTAGGTTATTTTAACAAAATAATAATAATAAATAAATTACAATCAAGTTAAATTATTCCTCTATGTATATATGTTTAAGTGAAAATGAGTTATACATGTTCAAATCTATAATCGTCATTAGTAAGGAAGAGACAGTCATGAGAATTCACAAAGAAATAGAATAGGAAGTTAAAACTTGATGGAAGAAAAAGAGAGAAATAAAAAAGGTTTCAATATTCATTCTCATTGATGAAAGAAAGATGAACCAACTTATATACAAGTTAGGGAGAAAAGAAACTAACTACAATTGGCAACTAACAGAAAATAACAAAAAAGAAAAAAAATAATTAATACAAATTGAAACACCCCCTCCCCCTTCAAGCTAGTGCATACAAATCTGTCATGTCCAACTTGGACAATAGAACTCCAAAAACATGAGAAACTAGTGACAGTTTATATATCAACTATTTGGTTAGAAGTTGAGATGAGAAGGAGATGCATAAGGCAGAACATTGTCTCTAACAATGTCACAGTTCATTTCTATATGTTTTGTTCTTTCATGAAAAATAAGGTTGGCAGCTATATGCAAGGCTGATTGATTGTTACAAAATAAACTAATAGGCTACTCAAGCTTTACAACAAAATCTTTCAACAAACTTGATAACCATTTTGCCTCACAAGTTGCAAGAACAAGAACTCTATATTTAGCTTCTGCTAATAATCTGGCAACTATTGACTATTTTTTGCTTTTCTAAGAAATTAGAGCACTTCTTAAAAAGAAACAAAAACTTGTGATAGATCTCTTGGTATCTAAGCAACTCCCCAATCTAAATCACTATAGTCCATTGGAATAGGACTAGAATTTGGTGAAAAAATACAATTCTTTGGCAGGGTTGTGTTTGATGTATTTGGGAACTCTTCTTGAGAAATATGTCCTTAAATTACTAGAAGAAACTGGAATAATTGCATCAAAATCATGTACCAGCCCCATGAATTTCACAACAAGATTGCACAAGGATGTTGAAAATGTCTATGAAGATGTTGGTTCTTTTAGAAAACTGATTGGGAAACTGATTTATCTAACCAACACTAGACTAGATATCTCCTATGTTGTTGGAAGGCTAATTTAGTTTCTTGATTGTCTATCTAATGCACACTACAAGGCAAATGCTAATGTTAATGCCTTCTTTTGATTTTGAAACTTCCATTCTAAGGAAAGAGCTAAAGTTTCCTAGGTCCCTAACCTTAAACCTTTTGTCTGGTAGTAACCATATTTGACTAATTTCCTTATTATCAAGTCATCAACATATCATGTTGTTGTCTTCTTAATAAAAAGTGAATAGCTTGCTTTTGATTGGTAATAACCAGATGAAATAAGGGTCTCTGTCAGCTTCAAGTTTCATTGCTTGTTTGGCTTGTTTCAAGCCATACAATGATTTAGTTAGCCTGCAAAAAAAGATTAGGATATGAGAATTCAAGGCCTAGTAGAGCTTGCATATACACTTCCTCATCAATATCACCATGCAAAAAAGTTGCGTTAACATTTATCTGATGTAATTTCTAATTCCTTGTTGTTGCCATAACAAGCAAAGTTCCGATGGTAGTCATCCTTACTACTGGGCTAAAGTCTCCAAATAGTCAAGACCTGCAATTTGTGTGAACCCTTTTGCCACTAGCCTTGCTTTGTACCTTTCAATGTTGTCATTTGTGTTGTATTTGACCTTAAATACCCATTTACATCCAACATATTTCTTTCCTTAAGGTAATTCAATGAGAGCCCAAGTTTGATTATCACTTAAGGCTTTAAGTTCCTTATCAATACCAGTCTTCCAACAATTATTTTTTATAGCATTATGATAAGTTTGAGGTTCAACAATAGAAGAAATGGCTTGGGCAAAATGTTCTTGTGGGGAAGCGGTGAATTATAGGAAAGATGGTTAAAAATAGGATACTTGACAGAGTTGGA